TAGAAATTGCTGGCGATTTGGCCATCCAGCGAAATTTTGCAGATCTATCGCCAAATGCCCAGTCTGTGGTGCCGTGACCATTCTAATAGTCTTGCAACGATCTCCCTCTTGCCTTAATGTCAGGGGCTCCCCTTCGTACTCTCGCCGTTGTCGGTCTTTTAAAACGAGCGGAATCCTTTTACCTAAAAGAGACAGAAGGTCCCCCCTTAGCCATGGCCAGTTTCTATCTCCGCCTCCAAGGGGACCCCCCACGTGTTTCTATTCCCGTGTTTCAAAAGCCCCCCCCACTTTGGTATCCCACTTCTACACCCCCCTTGTGGTTCCCTCTCCCATAATCACTCCTGTATCTAATCCTTTGCTGTCCTGGCTCAGACGTCCCCTACTTTCAACCCTCATCTATCTCGCTTTCGATTCTCTCTTACAAGCCTCAGTAGTACGAGACCTCAAACCCCCCCTTTCCCCCAATCGTCCCTCTATTTTAAAAAAGAAAAAAAAAGGTCCGGTAACACCCTACCCATTTCCACCTCCTCATTTTACCCCCCTGTCTTGCCCCTAGTTTTTCCCCTTCTCACTGGCTCAGTTACAAGTGGGGGTTTCACCCTCCTCCTCGAAATGTACCTTCCCCCCGTTCCCTCCCATTTTTTCCTCTCTCCACCCCCAGGTTCTGTCCTTCTGTCCCTGCCACACTTCTCCATTCCCTCCCCCCTTTTCCCCCCCCTACCTTGGTACGTCCAATCAGTTCCAATCTTTACTATCCCCCCCCTACCTTTCCCCCAAATATTGTCCCCCCCTAGACATCTCTGAATTGAAAAACTTGAAGCAATCTCTAAATATATTGCAGGACCAAACCAAAAGGGGACACTGATCACCTTGCTCTTCCTTTCCTCTGCCCCATCTGCACAACTCCTTTCTTCACAGCGCACCGTTCCTTCGCTGCTTGAACATTTTCACGCCTCCGATGGGGATTTTTTAAACCCTTCTAGCCCTGGGAACCCTTCCCTGCGGTTTAAAGACCCTTTATCTTTGCCAACCCTGGCCTTTTTCATGAATATCGCGGCCTCGGGGGTAATGGGGTGAGCTTCAGATGTTACTCCCCCGTTTGCCCCTGTTGTTTTTGCTTCGGAACCAAAATTTTACACTCTGCTGTTTTTTCTCACATCTCAGGCTAAATTTTTTGTATTCTTCGATTTTTTTCCCTGATGGGCCCTTTAATGAAAGTGCCCTTCTTCTCGCATGATTTTCCGTACCATCGCTATTTGTTCATACTTCGCTGCATTACACGCAGCCCGTATCCCCTTTCATAGGGGGTATGCTTGTTCTTTATATCTCTCTCCTTCTCGGGCTTTTCTATTGGGTTTTTCCTTCCTTGTTTTGTCATTACCGCCCCGTTTGTTACTTGGTGATTTTAATTTCCCACCATTTCCTCTGGGGAGGGTTTTACTGTATTCCGTGGAATTCAGTTTTGAGGCTTTTCTTGCCACCCACCCCCTCCATGTTTTTAAAAAAAAAGGGACTCACCCATTTTGATCCTCGGACTCATACTCTCTCTTGCATCGATCTCTAGTTTGTTCTTCCTCCGCCGCATTAGACTTTCTTGGTCTGTTCTCCCGGACTTTCATGACAGTGATCATTTTCCCCAATCATTCTTACTTCCCCCTTTATATTCGCCACCCTTCGCACCCCACGGGCAATTTAAACGGGCAAAATTTGGGAAACCCTTTTCTCACACTGACTGTTTTTAAAAAGGTTCCCTTTTCGTCCTCCCTCGATGAGCTTTTCACCCCTTCTCGTCCTCCCTTTTCACCCCCAGCTTCCATTCTATTTCCCCAAAATTCGGGCAGGGATTTCAGAAATGCGTCCTTTGGGGGCTCCCGTTTGCTCGTGCAGTACGTTTGAAACGCGCTGCATGGGGCAGGTACCGGTACAATAAAAAACAGAGCGATCCTTGATTTTAACAGAAGCTGCGATGCTCGCCGTGTCATCCGTGACGCTAAACGCATTGTGGGGAGATTATGTCTCCCCCCATCACTCGTTTCTCTATGAGTGAGTCTGGAAAAAAAATCGAAACTGAGTTAAATATTCTCCTGACCCGGCTCCCGTTCTGGGGGTTTCCGGGGTTGATATAGCAAACCCCACTAGATGTTGCCAATGAAATTGGAATCATCTGGGCCGTTTTTTTCAGGACTATTCTTTGCCCCTATTTCTTCCTCAAAATCTGCCAGGAGTTAGCACCCTTGGACTTTTCTTCTCTCAGGAAAAAGAACAGTAAAAGTCCTTTTCACTTCAAGAACTGGGGGCAACACTCTAGCTTGCGATCACGGGAGCTGGGCCGACGACATTTTTATTTATGCTACAACATTTACATCACAGCCCCTTTCAGTCCTATTACGCCTTTCAAATTTTTTTGGGACAAGGGGTTCTTCCACACTGGAAATCCGCCATTGTTCTCCCCTTTCGCAAAACCGGGACACGGGACATGAAACCTCCCCTATCGTCCCCTTGCTCTTACCAGTGCAGTTTGCAAAGTAATGGAACGTCTAGTAAATAACGTTTTTGTGTGGTATTTAGAGACACACAACAGTCTCTCCACTCGTCAATATGGTTTCGTAAGGGGCGTTTTCTACCATAGACCCCTTTCTGCGCTTGGATACGTATGTTCTAATGCCTTTGCGAATAACCCTCAGTTATTGCCAATTTTTTGACCTTAGAAGGCATATGACACAACTTGGAGGTATAATATTTTAGCCCAAACCCCCTCCTTAGGCTTGAGGCAATCTACCATCCTTCCTTAAGAACTTTTTAACTGACAGGCATTTCCGTGTTTTGGGTTAATAAAAGTGCCTCCCCCCGGGCTTTTTTCCCAGCGAAGGGGTCCCCCAGGGGTGTGTTCTGAGCACAACACTTTTTCTCCTTGCTATTAATTTATTTGGCCTCTAGTCTTCCCTCAAATTTTTTGGTCATCACTCTATGTGAGACTTTCGCTTTTTCCTGTGCAGGCGGACTGTCACCTCCCTTTAAATTTCCTCCGCATGCAGTCGACCGTTTTTTTCCAAATTTGGGGCCCCAAACATGGGTTTTAAAATTTTCAGCACTAAAAACCCACCAAATCACTTTCCTAGCGCTCTGTCATCTCGATCATCCTTTGTACCCCTATGGCCACGTTCCCCGAAGTATCAGTCAATTTCTGGGCCCCCCTCTTTGATCGTAGGTTTCCTGGAAACCTCACATTACCCCTTGAAGGCAAATTGTTTACAGCCCGGCTGAACTTCTTAAAAACCCTTGCCCCCATCTTTCGTGGGGAGTGATCGCGAACCCTTTCACCCACATTCCACCCCTTTTTTTATCGAAACTTGATTAGGGGACCAGATCTATTCAGCGGCATCTCCCATACTCTTTAGCCTTAACCCCATTCATCACCAAGGATTAGTTATGCCTTGGTGCTTTTCGCTCTTCCCCTGTCGAAAGCCTCTATGCAAACAACGTTCCATCCTTATCCCATCGCCCTGATGCCCATTGCCTGCGTACTAGACGCTCTCATGATCTCCGCTCCCCTTCCCTTTATGATGGTCACTGAATTAGTGACATTTTTTATTTGTTCGCCCCCCCCTGTTACTCCGTCCCCTTTTCTTTTCCCTTCATTCGCTCTTTTTCTTTCTTCAACTACCCCCTTTCTATGTCATGTACTTTTCACTTTCCCCCCCCCCTGGGGAAGTTCCAATGTTCGAGTTGTTCTTTCTCCCTCCCTTGCTCGAAAGCCCAACTTCTCGGTCGCTTCCCGCTCTTTTTTCTTGACCCTTTCACTCTCATTCTCATGCCATTTTTCTGGTTTACACAGAGGCTCAAGTCTTTTGACGGCTAGGATTCGCACGGGGGTTTTCCGGACAGCGTCTACAAGGGCATTTACTATCTTTAGCTAGTATTTTTTCTGCTGATTTTTATGCCATCCCCTTTCAGCACTTATCCGTATTGCATCTATGCCTGTGTCACATTTTTTGGTTGTCTCAGACTCCCTTGTGCTTTTCGGCATACAAAAATTTGAACACCACCCCTTAGTCCTCCTACCACTTTTTCTACGCCGATCTTTACAAGATAAAGAATTGTTTTTTGTTGGGTCCCTGGTATGTTGAGTACAGGGCAATGAACGGCGACACTGCTGCGCGGGCAGCTACATGACCTCCTTTCTTTTAAAAGGTTTCCATGTAGGACTTTTTTCGTAATATCTTCCCCCCTTCACACCCCTTTTCAACAATTGGTCTACTATGTCGGGGGAACAACTTCAGTCTATTAAACCGAGTATAGGTTATGGGGCCGCTTTTATCACCAGGTCGAGGTTGGGAGATACTCCTCCCTCTTCGCATTGGCCCCTCTCGTCTTACTCATGGATTTCATGGAGGCGACTTGCTCCTCTCTGTGGAATTGCCAAGCTCCTTTTCAGTCAGCCACATTTGTTTTTTGGGCTGCCCACTTTATCACGAGCACGCAGAATTTACCTCGTCGTCGTCTTCGCCCCGCTGCTCTCTCTTTACCTTCCCTTCTCGCTGATGGACCCACCTTTCATCCGGACTCTCTTATTGACTTTTTGACAACGACTGACTTACTTCACAAATTCTGATACTTTCAGCCCTTTCTACTTGTATCTCTTGCTACCCTCTACCCCCGTACTATCCCCTGCCTCGCTGTTTTCTGTAACCTGCTGATCATCCCCCCTCCCTCCTGCCATCCAATTCCCTTGCTTCCTTCCCTACCCTGCAGCGCTGTATAGCCCTTGTGGCTTAGCGCTTCTTTTTGATTATAATAATAATAATATCCCTAATGTTCTTCATGTAATTCTGTTTTTATTAAACACCAGTTCCCAGGAATGTAACCCTTGCTTATTAAAAGGGTTTACTGTATTTTAAATTCTATACAGAGCTATTTCTTTAAAGTTGTAGTACTTGTAATGCTGTTTTATAAATTAATCATATGAAAAACTTGCTAAGCTCTCCTTTCCATTACTGCAGCATCATCTTGTCCAAGCTGGTAGCACTAAGCATCCTGGTTTGCAAGTGTGCTTATCTGGAGAAGAATTAGAACAAATGCAATGTCAGTGTGAGGCTTATGCTGCACATATGAATTATACAACAGCACAAAATCAGGTTAGTTTTAAGGTAATGTACATATAATTGCAAAAGTATGGAATATTTTGTATTGTTGTTCTCAGCTTCTCATAAACAGCTAGGGGAGTACAGATAAGTAGCATGTTTATCTCACTTTTAGCAAATGGAGGAGCCTCAACCATTCCTTAGCTCTCCCAGCCCCTAGCTTATCTTAATATAATTATGGGGTTCAAAGCACTTTAAGATATTTTTTTTAATTAAGGGGGATGTAGTGTGGCTACCTCCCCTTAATTAAAAAATTTCTTAGCCTATTATGGGTACTCACCAGCTTCTCCATTCTGCATTGTTGCTGCGATGATGTGATGATACGACGATGATACAATGGCCATGATGATGAGATGAAGTAAGGTGATGTGTAGGCATTGTGACGTTGTGTTAGGTTGTTGACCTTCTGACGAAAAGACGTCAGGAGGAGGAGGAGGATCATCTGCTTTGGGTGATCCTGTCACACAATTTGAAACTTAGGAATCTTTTATTTCTGGAATTTTCCATTTGATATTTTTGGGTCACATTAAACCGCGGATAACTGAAACCCTGTAACTGTATGTATGGCTGTAAAGTTTTTTTGTTTTATTTTTGTTTCCAGGTTTCAGGTCAGCAGAAAGTCGAGGTAGAGATTGAAGAGAAACAGCGCTTAATGGTAGTATCTTCAGAAAAACAAGCTGCCATCCTTAAAGTGATTAAGGGTAAGCACAGTAATTATAATTGCAGTATTTTTAAATCATGATTATGATGTATTTGAAATACCATACTTAAATCATTTTTTTTTTGTTTGACAGTTGCCGTGGAGTGCTTATATACATGATCTGTGAAATTACCGAAATAATATAGTGGACTTTTTGTTGCTAAGATAGTATGGTACCAGTTATCATCATACTATTGAATATGGATGGAAGTGTTTAAGGTTAAATTTCACTTTCTTCATACTTCAGTCTATCAGATCACTTTCATTCCCTTAGGATAGCCAAAAAATAGATAGTTGGAAATGTCTTTCTCCACAGGCTGTTTCATGTTAAAAAATTAGATATCAATGTTTAGAGGTATTTACCATCTGCTGATAATGATAAAATTAACCCTTTCAGTGTTGGTCCCATTGTATCACAGCTTTGAAGCTAGTGTAGGTCCTGTAGTATGATGCCATGAGCTCAGCTCACTCAGATAAGCTGTAAGAAGTAAATTTGGGTCTAGATATGAGAGCATGGGTCTATCTGGTAAGTGTGCACCATATAAAAAAGATCCTGCAGAACACAATGCATAATGAGAATAAAAAACTGCGACCGTGTTTTTGGTTTCAAACAGTGACTTTGCAGTGTATTTTCATATGCTTTTTATGGTTGTATTCTCAGTTTCTTTATTCATTTGATAGGATGGAAGATATTTTACAGAAATAGGATGATTTGATTAGTTTCAGGACTGAAAGTAGCTTGAAGTTGAGCTCAAAGTAGCGGAAATATTCGATTTTTGCCAATACAGCCTCTCCTCACTTAACCCTTAACTGTCCAGACATTAGATCTACGTTCTTTTGCCCAGCACTTCGAATATTTAATTTTTTTTTTTTTTTTTTTTTTTTTTTTTTAATGAAGAGGACTTTGTTTACATAAAGTAATGTAAAAAAGAATTCTAGAGTCAGTACTTATGGGGATATAAGGCTACAAAGTCGGTACTTGTCGCTCACCTGACAGCAGTATGAAGCACTGCCACTTGCAGAAGGGTGCTTTACACTACAGTTTTTAAACTACAACATTAACACACCTCCTTCAGAGTGCAGAGATGGGAAGTACAGTGCCTGCACTCTGAAGGAGGGGTGTTAATGTTGCAGTTTAAAAACTGTAGTGTAAAGCACCCTTCTGGCAAGACAGTGATGGAGTGAAAGATGGTGAAAGTTTTTCTTTTTCGGGCCACCCTGCCTTGGTGGGAATAGGCCAGTGTGATAATAAAAAAAAAAAAAAAAAAAAAATTATGTTTTGATAATGACAATTTGTAGTAGTTCTTGTGATTTCATAGTTAATCTTTGTTCTGACACTAATACTTGGTACTGAAATAGTACTCAAATAGTGACAGACACAGTGACAGGTGAACATTTTCACCTACCTTAGTCACATACTATTTTCCAGAAATATATACAAAGTATTAATAGGTCCCAGCAATGTTTTGGATACAAGGGAGTATATAATAATAATAAAAATAATAATAAGTTCCCTTGAAGCATGATGTAAGAGTGTGTCACTTGTCTTTTCTTATCACTCCACTGACATTTGATGAGCTGTCTTATCTTATCACCCCACTAATGACAGTGGCGACATTTGATGAGCCTTCACTTTATTTGTTTTCACTGTTACACATAAACATGTCTGTCTGTCTAGCTCTGTCTATCTAGCTTTCTGTCTGTCTAGCTCTGTCCATCTGTCTAGCTCTGTCTGTCTAGTTCTGTCTGTGTAGCTCTCTGTCTGTCTCTCTCTAGGTCTCTGTATCTGTCTGTCTAGCTCTCTGTCTGTCTATCTATTTGTGTGTCTGTCTTTGCCTGTGTTTCTTTCTATCTGCTTGTCTCAGAGAGTTGCTCATGAACCAACTGGCATTACACACGATCACTATCTACAAGCACAGTATAGCACTTTTTCTGTATTTTTTGGGTTATCCTAGTTTTTTTTTTTTTTTTTAAACAAGTCGTCCATCTCCCACCAAGGCAGGGTGACCCAAAAAAGAAAGAAAATCCCCAAAAAGAAAATACTTTCATCATCATTCAACACTTTCACCACACTCACATATTATCACTGTTTTTGCAGAGGTGCTCAGAATACAACAGTTTAGAAGCATATACATATAAAGATATACAACATATCCCTCCAAACTGCCAATATCCCAAACCCCTCCTTTAAAGTGCAGGCATTGTACTTCCCATTTCCAGGACTCAAGTCCGACTATATGAAAATAACCAGTTTCCTTGAATCCCTTCACTAAATATTACCCTGCTCACACTCCAACAGATCGTCAGGTCCCAGTACCATTCGTTCTCATTCACTCCTATCTAACACGCTCACGCACACTTGCTGGAAGTCCAAGCCCCTCACCCACAAAACCTCCTTTACCCCCTCTCTCCAACCCTTTCGAGGACGACCCCTACCCCGCCTTCCTTCCCCTATAGATTTATATGCTTTCCATGTCATTCTACTTGGATCCATTCTCTCTAAATGACCAAACCACCTCAACAACCCCTCTTTTGCCCTCTGACTAATACTTTTATTAACTCCACACCTTTTCCTAATTTCCACACTCCAAATTTTCTGCATAATATTTACACCACACATTGCCCTTAGACAGGACATCTCCACTGCCTCCAACCATCTCCTCACTGCTGCATTTATCCTAGGTAATTTACACTATGTATAATTGTATTTACGTATGTGTTCTTGTGAGATAGAGACAGAGATGGAGATAAAGGGATAGACAGAGATAAATACAGACAGACGGAGATAGAGCCAATCAGCCAGCTGCCGCCCAGCCAGGTGGCCAGCCAGCTGCTGGCTAGCCAGCTGGTCAACCAGCCTGCCAAAATTACACATTCCAGAATTGTTTCTTTTTTCGTACTTAGGGCATAGGTTATAGGACATTCTGGCATGATGACACTTTCCTCTTAAAAGGGGAGTGTTAATATGACATGACATCAGTGAATCCTTGGTGTTTGCCATGCTCCCACAAGGTACAAAGTGGTCCCAGATTATTTTAATATTGTGCACACCAAGGGTTAAGACCCATTCTGTTCTGACCAGACATCTTAGGCCAATTGTGCCAAATTTGGAAGCAGGAAAAATATAACGTAGATCTATGTTTGGAGCGCTGGCTGTAAGAATGTACATCTACATTTGGACAGTTAAGGGGTTAATGACAGAATTCCATTCCTAAGACCACATCGTTAAACAAATTCATTGCTAAGTGAGGAGCATACTATAATGGTAGTGAGTTTGTGTCAACCATCTTTAACCCTTTGAGGGTCGACAGGCCCTCTCCGAAACTAGTTCTCAGGGTCGGCCAAATTTAAAAAAAAAAAAATTTATTTTTTTTACGAAAAAATAGAGTTTTTTTTCTAAATATTATAGGCTAAACAAAAAAATTTTACCGTCAATACTTACCGAGATATGGAGGCGTGAAGTTTGCCTAAGTTATTTCTTTTTCAATACTACACAATAAGGGCATAAACACTGTTGTCATTATTTTGTTTACAAAAAATATTTACACAAACAAATGATATGAAATGTTGCTTATTACTATTTTTCTATATTTTATATACACATATACAGTCACAGGGAATGTTTCTAGAAGTTCTGCAGCCTGTGGAAGTCTTTGAAACATGGTGTCATGCACAGTGGTGTTTTACACTCCTCACACATAAAACGAGTGTCTCTGCGTTGTTGTGGGCGTTTTTTTGTATGTGCACAGACGTAATACCTCTTCTGAGCCTTTTTCTTGAAAGCAGTAGCAGGCAGTTTTACCAGGAAGTGATCACCATGCTTCAGACGAGCAGGTAGTTGTTGATAATTTGGTGGGCGGTCAATTGCAGGTGTTGTTCCTTGGTACTTGAATACTATTTGTCTGATGACAGACAAACAGAATTCACCGTACTGTGGTTTGTTTCTGGTCCTCATCTTATACATATTATAAGCATTGAGCATGGAAATGTCCAGAAGATGGAAAAACAGTTTGATGTACCACTTATAACTCTTGCGAACACAATCAGCAAACCCAATCTGCATGTCACATTTGTTCACTGAACGCATGTTGAAGGTGTAATCAATCACAGCTGCAGGTTTTAGAATGAGTTCATTGCTCTCTCTATGCTGCCTGCCACTGTCTGCCATTTCATTAGGGTGAACTGATGACAACAGTGTGACATCTCGTTTGTCATGCCACCGAAATGCCATGATGTCATTGGCAGCAAACGCCTGCACCTCACCTCTACGAGTGCCAGCGTCAAACCTGGGCATATGTTTCCGATTTGCACTCACTGTGCCATACACATCTGTCATGTTCACTCGCAAAAAATCACTGAGTGAGGGGCTTGTGTACCAGTTATCTGTATATAATATATGCCTCTTACAAGGTATGGTTCTATCATTGTTCTAACCACATCACTGAGATGCCAATAACTTCCTGGTATTTTGCAATGTATAACTTCCAGTGTTACACAATAATATCCAATACCAGACCACTGTAACAATCACAAAGCACAAACAACTTTATACCAAAGCGTTTCCTCTTGCTTGGTATGTACTGCTTGAAAGAGTCTTCCTTTGAACGAATCAAAGACTCGTCAATTACAAGCTTCCTTGAAGGGATAAAAATGCGTATTGAATTTCTCTTTCAGATACACAAACACATTCCTAATCTTATATAACCTGTCAGTTCTGTCAGGCCTGGTTTTGTCTGAGAAATGAAGCATACGTAACATTAGCACAAATCGATTCACTGGCATTATATCACTGAAACCTGGGGTTGCAATCAGGCGGTCTGTTGACCAGTATGATTTCACTTTGTGCTTATACACATGTAGCATAGCATTATTGTGGCAAAGAAAAGATACATCTCAGCCACAGTTGCCTCCTTCCATGGTGTAGACGTGATTTTGGTGAAAGTAATGTGTTTGCCATGGTGTACTCGTAGTATGTGTTGCTTTCCATGACAATACTTTCCA